AGCCAACATTTTGGTTGCTAAGCAAGAGCGTTGTTAAGTGAGTTTCACCACATTTTACAAGTTGGCTATGCCCACCAGTCACATGGCTGGCAAGCCACTCCCACCCAGTCACATGGCCGGCAAGCCACTCCCACAAAGCAGGCCACACCTACAGAAGAGGTTCTAAAAAATTTTGAAACCCACCACTGCCAGGGAGGTATAGTATTCTGCCTTTTTAATATTTCCTAAAATATTTCATTCTTCTAAGACGGGGGGGTGCTAACTTTCTTCACTGTGTGTGTTGTTCAAATTTGATCATTAAAAGAAGTTCATAGAGCAGAGTTTACATATAACATTTCTGCAAATTACTTACAATTTGTACCTCTTTAGGAAGGAATGCATTCTCAAGATATAATTTTTTAAAATTTATTATGAGTAGACATATATACAATTGCACTATTAACCTCTCATTTCTCTGGGATGTCCCAGGTATAGTAAGAACATCAAGTATAAAATGGTAAACAATAGCAGAAACAGTTGAGAACACCAAAATAAAACCATCTGGAATGGCTGAAAAATAAAACAGGACAGAGCAAGCCCGTAGCATTGACCGCGAAATTAAATAGTGCAAAGATGTAGAAGCACTTTGAAAAGAAAGCACACATCTTTAATAATGGCCTTCATGTATATGGAAAAGATCTATAGATCCCAGGCAAATATTGATGAAGAAGGTTCTCTACCAGTTTAATTATTTATTTTTTCTTTAGCCATAAAAAGGCCCTTGCCTAATCTATCAGGGAATAGTTGTGGGCACTTAGATAGGGGAAGAGATAATGTTAACATTACAACTGCAAACATTTTGCAGTTTTCAAAGTTCAAACAAGTATTTTGAGTAGGCATTAAAAAGGGATAGATCATCAGTGCTGGTGGCTTTACCATCATTTGCTTCCAAGCTGTGACACAGAGAAGCAGTCTGGCTAATTGTTTTAGATTAAATTTCTTGGATCATTTTCAAAGGCAAAGCCTTATGAATCTCCACATAGCAATGGATAATTTCCCAGGAGGTTATCAGGACATTAGCAGGGGCTAATATTCAGGGGAATCTTAACAGTCAAGGTATCATCTGTCATGGCGTAGTTATAGCCTGCCCTGTTTTTGTGTGCGTTGATGGGCTTTTGACAGTGTGGCTGCAGCCATCTGCTGCATTTTTATTGTCCATCTGGTTGTTTTATCGTTTATCAGTGGTAGTTTAATTTCAGTAGAGTGGCAGCACATATTGGACGCCATGACTCTTGAATAGAGAGAGATGATGATTGATGGGTGTTATTTGAGTTTGCAAACGTAAATAATACATTTTTTTTGTATTTGCAAGAAACTGCAAGGTAGGTACAGCTGTGAGATATTGTAGTAGGAGGTGAGAATCACCTCGAGGAAGAGACAAGAGAAAATCTGAGTCCAAAATAGAAACGTAGTTTTAGAAAGTGAATCAGACTTAACTCTTCTTAGTTCTCTCGAATCTAAAGGCAAAGGACCTGATAGCAGTATTCCAGTATTTGAGGGGCTGCCACAAAGGAGAGGGGGTCAACGTATTTTCCAAAGCACCAGACGGCAGGATAAGAAACAATGGATGGAAACTAATCAAAGAAGGAAGCAACCTGGAGTTAAGGAGAAATGTCCTAACAGTGAGAACAATCAACCAGTGGAACAGCTTTGCCTTCAGAAGTTGTAAGGCCTTCACCACTGGAAATTTTTAAAAAGAGACTGGACAGCCATTGGTCTCAAATTTTATAGGGTCCCCTGTTTGAGCAGGGGGTTGGACTAGAAGATCTCCAAATTCCATTCCAGCTCTATTCTGATTGATTGAAGGGAGCAGAGAAGTACAATCGGGCTTGCAAGATTCTGTTACTGTAACCTTATGCTACAATTATTATTAGGATTGATACCTTTGGTTTCCTGGTCTGGACTGCCTTGAGGATCTGATAGATATTTAATTGGCTCAATACACCCAATGGCTAAGCAAGGATTTGAACCACGGTTTCCCAAGTTCTCAATTGCTATCTTCCTATCTCCACAATCTCGTTGAGCTTACGCTTATCTCACAGTGCCTGGTCCTAATTGCCTTTATTGGTCTGAAACAACAGAGGGAACCACAGCAGAATATATAAATTGGAATATTTGAATCCACAACTATCTTCACTATTCCATGGTTGTCACCAGAGGTGATATTCAGCCATTTCTGACCGGTTCTGGAGAACCGATAGTGGAAATTTTGAGTAGTTCGGAGAACCGGCAAATATCACCTCTGACTGACCCCGCCCCCTGCCTCCCGAGTCCCAGCTGATTGGCTGGGTCTTCTCCTCTTGCCCTGTACAGGAGAACAGAGCTGGAAAGCAGGTTAGTGGGGTGGGGCGGGAATGGGGATTTTGCAGTATCCTTCTGCTGCCATGCCCACCAAGCCACACCCACAGAACCGGTAGTAAAAAAAAAAATTGAATCCCACCATTGGTTGTCACCCAAACAAGAGGAAGGCTAGAGCAGTTCCATCATGAAGAAGAGCAAGTTCTCAAGCAGATCAGGAACAGTTTCAAGTAGCTTATTTTAACTTTGTGTAAGACTAAGATCAAGAAGTTTGTTTCCTTCATTGACAGGTACTCTGGAAGATTGGGAGACTGTTGTGGGTCTGGTACATAGGCAAGGAGACAGAACTGGTGTTCCCTTGTCGTAAACAATAACAAAGCTGCAGGAGAGATAGAAGGAAACAAGATGCGAGTGAGTTTAAGGGTAAAACAGAAATGACCGTGTATACAAGTCATATATCAGTCACAACTCTTCTGCAAACAGGGCTGGTTTCTGTCAAACACATATGTTTTAGTTTCTTATATATTGATCCTCCTGGTGGAAAAGCAGGATAAATTGATCCTGGGGAGATCACAGATACAGATTGATCTGAAGACCCTTATCGCAGGTCAATTATAGTTGGTGGGCTTTCTTCTGTGCTGCTCCCATGCTCCACAGTTATGTTCAGTTTGCCCTTTCTAGGTTTTTTTTTGAAAGGAGCTAAGAGACCTTTCATTTATGTTGGCTATTAGTAGAATTGTCAAAAGAGCTGGGGGAAATGGAATCATTCAACACCACAACTTTCCGTTTCCAAAACAGCTTTGTTTGGAATCATAAACTGTTCCGACTCTTCCCCTTGGGATGCTGCAACGGGCATTGCAGGCCAAAACAATTGGACACTGGGACAGATTTTTCCCCCTAATGCCATCGCTCTGTTGAACACCTAATTCCCATGGCACTGTTTGATGTCTAAATATATATTACCCATGTAGTATGGCTGTATTATTATTATTATCTGTCTCACCTGTTCCATTACCTTCTCTTATTGGTATCATTATTATGATTAGCATTACTTTGTTATTAGGATTATTACTACTTTGTTTTTTGCATGTACAGTGAGGTTTTATGCACTGGAGACAAATTCCTTGATTATCTAATCATACTCTTCTCTTCTCTTCTCTTCTCTCCTTTCCTCTCCTCTTCTCTCCTCTCCTCTCCCCTCCATTTCCCTCCCCTCCCCTCCCCTCCCCTCCCCTCTCCTCTCCTCTCCTCTCCTCTCCCATTCCATTCCATTCCCTTCCTATGCCACTGCAGTATTTGGACAATTCTTAGGCTTGGGAGAAAACTTGAATTTATCCCAAACCACATTTGAATTCAATCACACTTGAATTTATCCTAAACTACAATCATTTGCTGACCATTCTTTAGAAAAGAGGATGATATTGATGATGACGACGATTTCTGATAGTAACTTTTGTGGCAACACAACTGGACCATTCGGAGTCAATTCCAGAGGCTATGCCACATGGCAAAGTCATGGAAAGCAGGTCATTTCCCTAGCTGCAAAGTACACATGGTGGTCCTTCCAGCAACCCCCCCCCCACACCTCCTTCATACCCAGTTGTGTCCCGTTCTCGACTCTTGGACATAAATTTCCCCAAATCCCCCATTTCTTACCAAGAAACTGAGGCAAAGCATTAAAAAAATAGCTCCGATGCAGACTATGCAAATCAGAATAATAATCCAATAGGTGAGAGCAGCTTCATCTCCCTGTTTGAGGGTAACTGTGGGGAAGAGAAAAGGTTTCTGAGTTTAGTAAATCATGTTATGAAGATGTTAGGATAAGGAAATATATAGCAATAGCAATAGCAGTTAGACTTATATACCGCTTCATAGGGCTTTCAGCCCTCTCTAAGTGGTTTACAGAGTCAGCATATCGCCCCCACAGTCTGGGTCCTCATTTCACCCACCTCGGAAGGATGGAAGGCTGAGTCAACCTTGAGCCGGTGAGATTAGAACCGCTGAACTGCAGATAACAGTCAGCTGAAGTGGCCTGCAGTACTGCACCCTAACCACTGCACCACCTCGGCAAGCATTCTTTTCCTAGCTACATTGGAGATGAATATCTGGAGTTCTTGGGTTAAAAGTGACTGAATCCAAGCGAGCAGTGTGAGTGGCTACAAAAAAGGCAATATAATTCCAAACTGCATCAACAAAAAATGTATTTGCCAAATTGTTGGCAAAAATGATGGAATTTGCAGAGATGGCTAATGTAACTGCTTTCATTAGAGAAAGAACATTTTCTACGTTTATGGTTGACTGGAAACCTCTTATAGATATTTTGCATGAAGCAGGGGAAAATGCACCTATAATTTATGGTTTTGAGGATTAGAAAAAAAGGATAATAAAAAAGTGAGTTTTTAAATGTAATCATACCGCAAGATAATTTTGTACTTGTACTTATATTTGCTGCAAAGGAAATATCTTCTATTTTTTTCCCTTTTTAATATTTTTCCTTCATCTTTGCTTTCATCTTCTATCCATTGCTTCTGCTCTTTATTTTTTGTGTGAGTTTTTATGAGTTTTATAAACTTTTTAAAAGTATTAAAACTTGTTTAATTTTATTCATCACATTTCTTCTACCCTGCCAATCTCACCCAAGAAAGGGTGGATTGGCTTTGCCAAATCAAGAGAGATAATATTTGTATTATATTATTATGCATCAGCAAGACAATATCCCAAATATTATATCCTGTCTGGAATACCATTTTTAAACTAGGATTTAGACAAACAGATTCAAGGAAGGGCAATGAGGACTAGAAACAAAACCCACCAAAGACAAATTGAAATTGATGGGAATCAATAGAGGACAATATTTGTAGCTCAGGATTGAACTGTGGTAATGAACCTTTCATTACAAAACTCATGATGAGGTTACCTAGTTTGGTTATTAAATGTCTGCAAGAAAACAGCCAAGATCAGTATGTGGACAGAAAGTAAACCTTTACACCAATAGTCTAAGCAGCACTTTTATGGGCAATGCTGCTACTTCATGAATATGGGATCACATCTGAAAGCATTTTTTGTTTGTTTTCTGTTTAAATATGTTGGTATAAAGAAATAAGCCTACCTGTGCTGTCAGATGTGGATCCTGTAGGTTCTGAGGACGAACCTGGGATAGTGGAACCAGGGTTGGAAGTTACACCAGGAGAAATTCCTGATGTCTGGATGCTTGTTTGGAAGCTGGCGGAATCTTGGTTCGAGGGTACTGAATTGGTCAAGCCGGAGTGGGAGGAAATTGGGCCGATTGAACCAGGATTGACAGAAAGGCCAGGAGAAATTCCTGAGGTCGGCATGCTTGCTTGGAAGATGGTGGGATCTTGGTTCAAGGGTACTGAATTGGTCAAGCCGGGGTGGGAAGAAATTGGGCCGATTGAACCAGGATTGACAGAAAGGCCAGGAGAAATTCCTGAGGTTGGGATGTTTGTTTTGATAGGGCTGAAGTGAGTAGATCTTGGGTTGCTGGAGATTGGGTTGGTGGGAAATATTGAGCCGGTGGGGGATCTGAGAGAGGTGCTGAAGGTCCTGTTTGATAAAGTTGCTTCAGGGTTTCCTGCTGGATTGGCAAGAGATGAGCCTGAATATGGAGAAAATAGAAACATTTAGAATTAAGCTGCAGTATTGTTTAGAAGGTGCAGGCATCAAAGCAAGCCTCATCTTAGAAGTGGAATCCCTGGCTATGTGAGGGAGAAAGAAGCATACTCAGTGGTAGGATCCTACCAGTTGAATAACCGGTGCGCTGAGCGCGCTGCGGCAGGACGCATGCGCAATTCAGAGAAGACTTACCTTCCGGATTGCTGCTTGGGACGGAAAACAGCGGAGGTGCAGCAATCCACTCTGCTGCGCGACTCAGCTGAGAAGATAAAGGTAGGTAAAGCACAGGGGCAGGTGGATGGGCCCACTTGCTGATCTTCAGAGCTACATGTTCACTTGAACTGGTCCAAACTGGTAGAATCCCACCACTGGGCATTCCACTGCTATAGTTGAGGTAGCCTGGACAGGTAGTCCTCAACTTACGACCACAATTGAGCCCAAAATTCTGTTGTTAAGTGAGACATTTGTTAAGTGAATTTTCACTCCATTTTACAAGCTTTCCTGCCACAGTTGTTAACTGAATCACTGCAGTCGATAAGTTGGTAACCTGGTTATTAAGTGAATCTGGCTTCCTCGTTGACTTTGCTTGTCAGAAGGTCGCAAAAGGGGATCACATGACACCGGGATAGTGCAACCGTCATAAATCTGAGTCAAAGCATCTGAATTTTGATCACATGATCATGGGGATGCTGCAAAGGTCGTAAGTGTGAAATATGGCCGTAAGTCACATTTTTCAATACTGTTGTAACTTTGAACAGTCAATAAACGGACTGTTGTAAATTGAGGACTACCTGTATAGGTTTTTTTAAGAAACATGTGTATTGAGGAATACATTCCATATCAATACATCTGCTGTTTAATTAACCTGAGGGTTTAAAAAAATCAATCTGAAATGATTTAACTCATCAATTAATACTACTTTTGATAATTATAGCAATAGCATTTAGGCATCTGTACTGCCCCATGGTGCTTTACAGAACTCTCTGGAAAGTTTACAATGTCAGCATTATTTGCACATTGCCCCAAACAATCTTAATTTTACCGCCCCCTCCCCCGGGATGTATGGAAGACTGAATCAACCTTGAGCCAGTCAAGATCAAACTCCAAACAGCCGCGCGAGCGATTGTGGGTGTACCTCGATACACCCACGTTACACCTATCCTCTGGGAGCTGCACTGGCTTCCAATCGGTCTCCGGATAAGCTTCAAGGTGCTAGTCGTCACTTGTAAA